AAGTTTAACACTTTTTTGGTTGGACAATTGTTAAACTAAAAAGATTCGTAATACTTCACCCATCAAACTTCAAACAATTTCTCAACATTACAGAAGAGGAGCTGATTTTTTTTATCTGATGCATTTTATAGTTACAGTTATAATCAAGCCTATAAGATTTCAATGGCAATTATGTTAATATATATATTATATTGTACACAAATTACACTCTTTCGTAAAAATTAGCATGAAACAATACGTCACCTATTTGTATCCTGTGAATGCACAATTTGGAATTCTTGACAAAATACATAAGTGGGACGATTTTAATGTTAAAACACAGTTTATTTCACTTGTGAACGAAGTTTGTATGTGGTTTCCTTCCTCTTGTCGATATAAGAATATTACCTTGTATTGTATCACCTAAACGTCACTATTTTACGATAAACCTACTCTAATGCGTTTTTTTATAAAGTCAAAGTAAACATGCCTCAAACCACTCAAAGTTATCCAAACTGAATAATATTCATTCCCGCCCAACATTTCTCGTCACATGGCGGCGCGATGCTGAAAAGGTGAAACAAGATTGATGGCTATGGACCGCACAATGTTATTAAATCACTAACAACAGTGAGATTGCAAGTATAATAAAACGCAAAATATTATTGTTGTCCATTTGTAATCTTATGCTGTTACTCGCCATATATTCGAAAAAATCGTATTCAAGTTCAGCACTTTGATCCTGCACCGGAACTACGCCCTGACACAGATTACACGACTTGCTTTCAGTGTCTTCTTCGCCAGCATATTTCCCAGACACTCCTATTCTCGTTTTCACCATCAAACCCTCTCCACACGATTCTGAACAGGAAGACCACGGACCCCATTCACCCCATATGTTCGGAGTTTCATCATCGCAGTGTTCCCCGATATAACCGTCCACACAATTACATACATAGTTAAGTTCCCCGTTAACGCAAGTCCCTCCATTTTTGCACGGGTTATTAGTGCAGAACTCACAGATTGCTTCTGGGCCGATGTCCTTGCATGCGATTCCTTCAGGACACGTCTTGTCAGCACAATTGTCGTATGTGTCTGTACAGGTGTGCAACGCGGGAATAAAAATTGAATCCGTTTTAGCGTCATTTTTCTTGGTAGCTCTTTCGGGGTGTGCATAACCTTTCTTGCATTTACAGCCCCACATTCGCCGAGCTAGTTTGCCTGATTTCCATATATCGTCCCACTTCATGCCGTCCATCAACCACCTGTTGCTGTCCGGGAAAGCAATACAGCTATCATCGTACGCATTGTCTACGCCCTCACACGGCATGTCAATGCAAGGATTGGGACAGTATTTGTACTGCCAATAGGCCTTCTTTGTTTTCCCAACTGATGCACATACCTCAAAATTTAAAAACAAAGAAACTCCATTATTCAACGCTTCGCCAGCGTAGTTAGCGCGTGTCAATTCATTTTCAGCGGCATTTTTAACCTCTCCCGGATCACACAAATCTATGTCCGGTATTTCGTCGTCGCTGGACATTGGTCGAGCACAACTCGTCAGAAAGTTCTGCACACCAACTTTCTGGATGACAGAAAAATCGCCATTCGATTCCAGGGGAAATTTCAAATACGCTGACGGAAATGTGTCACTTATTTCGCTAAGAAATTTAAATTTGTTTGCCTCGTTCGGAAACATGGAATGACGTGTTTCTTTGGGTTTACAGCTTTTGAACATTTTTTGAAAATTTTTTTGATAAACTCGTTTGACATTTAGATATATTCGCTCTCTTTGACCGTGACCGAAGTAGCCGAATGGCAACTCGTACCCGGGTTTACATTTACAAGCAATATTCCTATTGAGAGATCGAGGCTTAGGGCCCTCCACGATCATACAGGAGTTTGGCACGGCGTTGGCAATCTGAGAGCACGGGTCACCTCGGCATGGATTCGGACAGTGTTGTAAGGTGGCGTAAATTGAGTTCGGACTAGTTTCACACATAACATAGTGATAAAGCAAAGACAACGCTTGGTAAAACCTATCCCCTGTATACCCAGCAGCCTCTAACGCGGTTCCGTATACGCTATACAAATGCTGAAACGAGCAAATCTGTCTCGCGTCGAGGCCTAAGGGGTTTTTGAGCGGAGAAAACTCGCCGAAGCAGAATTGATCCGGTGGAGCAATCCCCTGAGCGCGAGTGCTAACTGAAAAATCGAATGATGTCGGAAAAACTTTATCAACATCAGTCCACAAATCCAGTTCTTCTAACTCGTACATCTTTGTCATGTCAACATCATCTTGTTTAAGGGCTCGTAGGACACCTTGGCCGACTGCGTACGTGTTTTCTTGAACTTGTCTATCATAATTTGCGGCAAATGCTCTCATCATAAATAAGAGACTGAGTCCGTTGACGCTCGCCGGCAGTAGTATACACAGACATATTATCTGCGGCCGTATTACAGCACTTCCCAACAACATCGCCGCGTTAGATGTTTAATATCAGATCGAGGACAGTGTGGGTCCAATGCGTCTCTTTGTTCTGACGGGTTAGAGCGGTACATTCGATCGGCGGTACATTCCAAACGTGTTCTATCCGAAATGCTCGAATCGTCCCATCCAACATTCGAAACATGTTGTGTTGTTCGCTGGTTCTTGGCGTCGTTGTGTCGTTAGAGGAAGCGCTGTCACTATTTGGCCATTTTATTGGAGACACGGTCCGTTACTAAAATTAGTAATCGTGTTAGAGAGAAAAACTAGGATTTTGTAGCGATTTTAGTCGCGCTTGCCGTGCGTTTTGCCAGCGCGCTCAGCTA